TCAAAACTTCACCATTTTCACCTGTCATGATTACATGTTCCTATTCCAGGATTCTCTACACACACAAATGGAAAATTATTGCACACTCAATTTTAAAAGACAAAAAAACCCCACCAAAAACCAACAAAGTTTTGGATAATTTGGAAAACCAAATTAAATAATTTACATACACGAGCAAACATATATCCGCCTTTACAATATAGATATAAAAACCTTTGAAACAACAAAATAATATGATGTTGCTATTACTGGCCTGTACAATGTAATTACAGGATCACAGAACAGTAGGGGTTGGAAGGGGACCTCTGGAGATCATCCAGTCCAGCCCTCCTGCCCAAGCAGGTTTGCCTAGAGCAGGTCACACATGACCTCCAGGGGAGGAGATGATTCTGGCAGTTCTGTACTCAGAGTGGTACCCCAATATTATGACACCTGAAATGAACTTGGGAGTCTATAAAACTATTTAGCAAGCGATGATTGCCTCAAATATGAAGATGAGAGATGATGGTTAACACTGGACAGCTCTGATTTTTGTTGCTGCTTTGTACCAGTCATTCCCACCCAATTATGATAGTCAAGCGGTGCTCAATGTGTCTGAAAATCAGTCTTCAAGTTTAATTTCTTTTCCAATCAGAATGAACACATTTGTGGAATTTCTGGGAAAATAAGATTTTAAAATGAGATGCAGCAAAGAACCGGTAAAACAACTATCTTGGTGTACCTTCTTGTAACCCCAGAAACCAGTAAATTTTGTACCGGACTCTAGGACTAAGTAATTAAGTTATTTTGCAATACTTTTATGACAGTCAGAAAACTTTAACCTTTGCTTATGAATAACAGGCAAATTATTGATGAGGTCTTGAAGTGCTTGAATAAATCACACTATTTTGTAGCTTTTGGGAACCAAGAATGGAAATGTGTTTGACTTCTGTCTTCTTTCAAACAGCCTCTCCACTTCCCCACATCCTCCCATACCCCCAATGTCATGAGACTCAGGAAGTGGAAGGCTTGGAACTTTGTAAATACTCCTAGCATCATCCTAAAGTCAATATTATTTTATATCTTATTGTGTACAAGAAGTATGACCCCAGTTCTGCCTTCATATCCTAGGTCTACCAGAATAAAAATTGTCTCTATACATTTCACATAATATCAGGAGAAAGGGTGGGAGTAAAAATATTGAGTCTTACTTTCCCTCTGTCTTCCCTCTCAAAGAATTGGAGAGTATAACAGGCTAATGGAAGTGCTGGATGGAAGAAGAGAAAAGAGGACTGGTACTCTAATAAAAAAAATAGTGGCGTGTGAAACTTGTCAGGTTTGAGTCGTTAGGTTTGTGAGACAGGTGAAGAAAGATGAGAAAGAGCAGGTTTGTAAAGAAATTATCCACATAATCTGTGGAGAAGTAAGTGTTATCTAAACCAAATCTAAATTTAGGATACGGCTTCAAACAGCATCTCTGCCACAGAATTTGTATTTTAAAATGAAGTATTGTTTAGCTGTCCTCTTTAGAGCTTACTTACATGTACTAGTCCAAAATGAAAACATCGCTGTCCTGTTCCTCTGTGGTTTGGAAAGAATGCAAATGATACTTCCCTTTCATTCTTATTTTCAGAAGGTTGTCTAAATCTGAGGAGTGAGAACAAAGGGATCTAAATTATGTCCTTGATTTTGCCACTGATGTATTGTACTTCTTTGGAAACATTTTATTCTGAGCCTCAGTTTTGCCATTAAGAGGGGTTTCAGCAGTTCTGTACTTCATGTTGCAAATAGTGATAGTTTAGTAATATTTACTTGTGATTCTTGGGTAGAAGACTGTATTCAGATTTACGATTATTATTTCCATGCCAAAATTCTACACATAAGCTTTGTGAAGCCAAATCGCAGCACTGTTGGCCCAGCTTTAGTTATTACTGCATGTCACTTTACAGAAAAAAATTGCACTTCTTGTTCTTCCTCCTACAGAACTCCTGATAAACATTTCAAATGGCAGTGGTGTAATTATCTTTCATTAGTGACTATGCTAACTTTAAAATTAAAAAAAGTAAAGTAGCTGTTGATTACCAAGCACTAATGTAGTGCTTTCATGCACAGCTATAATTCTACTCATGAATATACATTAATCTTATGCATCACTTGTTATCTTTATCTAAAATCAAAAGACACTGACTAATGCAGCTTCATTCTGTTTTATGAAATGTAAAGGAAGCACAGCAATGGCCACAGTGCAGGATATTTCTGGATGATGAAAATCCTTAAATGTCTTTTGAGCTTTGCTCAATAAACCCTCTAATTTTTTTCACAATCAAAGTGTTTTGGAATACACTGTTGCAGAGAAGATAGCAACTGGAATAACATTGAGAGAGAGATGAGAGTGCGAGTGAATGTGAAAGCAGAGGCTAGAAACAGCAGGGCTGTGAAATTATGTGTGGTGGGAGAACCAAGTAGCGCATT